GTGTCAGGTCTTGGAGTTACAGACAGTTGTGAGCTGCCATGTGGGTGCTGGGATTGAACCTGAGTTTTCTGGGAGCGCAGTCAGTACCCCTAACTGCTGAGCCATCTCTCCAGCCCTCGAATTTTGGTTTCTTTAAAAAAACACAGCAATATTATATGTTTTCGTTTTACTCCCAGGTGTGTGGCATCGGGCTGCTTTATAGCAGCTCACTATGATTTGCCTCATGCTCTAGCAGAAGCGTGATTTTGCCAGCTGCAGACCGCTTCTGGGACTGTGTGGCATTGGCAATTCTGGGGACTTTTCCAAGGATATATATAAATGCTAGGCCCATAGGTAGGTTGTTGGTTGTGGTTTGTTAAGCAGTCGTGTGCAGAGAAAACAGGAAAAGGAGGAGGAGGAGGAACCATTAGCTATCCTCATGTTGAAGATCCACCTTGCCCCAGAAGCTCAGTGCCCCTACTCAGCGGGAAGTAGTCTGAAGATGATGTCACCCCTTTCCTCTCAATCCTTTTTCTCTCCTGTCTAGTGTTAGGGAGTTGAGCGGGTAGAGACAAGGGGTGGAGAGGGTGGCAGAAAGAAGAATCCCAAAGCAGCAAAGACCAGCTACAGGTGGCACTTGCACATGGGTGACCGAATGGGAGGCTTTATGTCAAATGCCACACAGGGGATGAGGAAATGAATATTTTTTTCAAGCTGCAAAAGAATGTATGGATGCTGCTCCCACGGGGACATCCCCACCTTACTCCAGAGGGCATTTCCTCTTTTTTTCTTCCTGTATTTTGCTTCAAAAAAGGCTGGGTGAATGGCTGAGCAGCTGGAGAAACTGCCTGAGAATGGGGCAACACTGCAGAGGGGAGGACGGAAAGGCTCAGTCCTGTGAGCAAGATGGCGGGCGTTTCTGGGGGAGGAAAAAGGGACAGAGAGAAGGTGGTAGGGTAGTCTAATGAAACAGCTTGTGTCAAGAGAAAGGGTCAATCTTGAACCCAGTGCGCCGACAGAGTGGGAGGAGGGAGGCCCAGGGTTGTGATGTCACCACCATCTGCGTTCAGATGGTCACACAGCGTGTGCCTGCTAATGGCCTGTGTAATGGACTGGTGCCTTGTGTTGTGTCGGATTGTTAATTATTTTGCCCTTGAGGTCTGCTTGCTGTCTTTCACCAGCAGACACTCATGTACCAAAAGATGTTTGTAATCCTTGCCTCCAAAACACCTTGACTGGCTGAATAAATGCCGACACACCTGGCAGGGCAGAAGTCAGGGAGGTGTGGCCAGGGGTCACGCAGGAGGTGGAGGACAGAGGAGAGCAGTCACATGGGCAAGTGTTTAGGGGGTGCTGGACTTGGAGCAACGGCGTGGGGTGGAGGGCTGGGTGGTGAACTCGGTCGCTTAGGGAGTTTCTATCTGCCCAGCTCCAGGTAGAATAAGGCTCATCTAAAACCTATCAGGTATCTGTCATTTATTGATTTAGTAGCAGGTTAGAGAATAATACCACCATAGTAACTACAGGCTTTAATAATAAATGTTCTTAGCCATATTTTATTTACTACAACAGATGTGGAACAAGGTTATAACAAGATAGGATGAAAAATGATAGCTCTAAGGGGTTTGAAAGAGGCCATAATTTCATATGGTATGCACTTGCCTTATGTGAAACAAATTCTACATAACTGGGCTATGCAAAATAGAATTATTTCCTGTCAGGGGCTAGTCTGGTGCTATCCTATGTTAATTGCCCCCCCACCCCCCAAACCTGCTTGCTACAAGCAGACAGTCACATGCCCCAAATGACCTTGTAAACTTTGCCTCTCTGTTTAACCAATAAAAAGCCAGCACCTGGGCAAGGCAAAGGTGAGGTGGGCGGAGCTAAGACTCCTGGACTTGGAGGATGGATAGAGTCTTGAGAAGGAGACAGATGAGGAGAGGAGGAAGGAGGAAGCCACCTTGGGTTGGGTGGAGAGAGAACCATGTGGACCAGCAGGAAGGACTCCAAGAATGGCATGGAAAGGAGCAATTCAGACGAAAAATACAAGCATGCATCTTGGGATTATGGATGGAAGGTAGCCCAGACAGGAAGGATAAAGTAGATGGAATGGGATGGAGGCTGGGAGATATGAGAAAGTTAGGGGGAATTATCTGCCCAGTCCAAGGTATGGATCCTAAGGCAATGATAGAATCTAACAGATGTCTGTGTCTTATTGATTATGATAGTGGGATAGATAATGCCACCGTAATAATACAGGGCTAATAACAAACATATTTGGCCTGGTATCATTTATTTCCAACAACTATTTCCCAAGACTGGAGGGATTGGTGACACCTTTTCTAGAAGACGGGCCACAATTACAGTGGTGGGGGGAGAAGCCGTGAACAGTGAACAGTGCAACAGAGCGAGGGGAATGAACACGGTGAAAGTCAGCTGCTGAGTGAAGGGTGATACCCTGATATACACAAACAGATTCAATCTGATGATGCTACTACAGAACAATGCTGCTTAGCAGCTTCAGAGCTTGGGACAAGGTTGAGGAACCCAGGTCCAACATATTTACAACGATTATAAAAGGCTCTGAGAAGCCTTTACTGACGTTTCACAAAGATCAGTCTCAGCTGTGAACACAGCTGCATCAGCCCCTGATGCCAGGCAGGTATTGATAGAGACCTTGGTGTATGAATATGAGGCTACAGAGTGTGAAAAGGTTATTAGACCATCAAAGGCAAAGGCAGCACCTACAGACAAGTGGATAAGGTACTACCCATATTGGTTCTAATGTGTACTATGCTTATGTCATAGGTCACGTTACAGCTAGAGATCTCTGATGTCAAACTCCCAGTGCTTCAAATATGGGAAGTACAGTCATTTGCAAAGAGCCTGTGATCAAGCCACTTGGATCACAAAATGCTTGGTGCTTTTTTTTCCCACCTTGAGACGGGGTTTCTCTGTGTAGCCTTGGCTGTCTTGGACTCACTTTTGTAGATCAGGATGGCCTCAAACTCACAGAAATCTACTTGCCTCCCAGAGTGCTGGAATTATAGGCATGTGCCACAGTGCCTGACTGCTTGGTGCTTTAATTATGGGAAATTTGGTCATTTGTAACAAAATTATGTACAAGGCATCTCTAAGGGCAATGGGTTTTCTAAATATACACCAGAAAGGTCTAGGCTTCCAGAGGTGTGCAGACGATGTGGCAAGGGTTGCCACTGGACCAGCGGGTGCAGGTCCAAGAGAGCTATCCAAGGCAATTTCTTGCCATTGAGAAATGGCCTTGGGGGCCTGGCTCAAATCTCCACAGCAGAAATTACGGAGTCTCCAGGTCATAGAAAAAAAAATCAAAAAAAACAAAAACAAAAAAACTGTGGAATTATATCAACCTATATAGTATGAGTATATGTTAACATCAGAATGGAAACCCGAGAAAGTTTTGTGTTGGGGATGCAGATTTGCTTATATTTCCACAGGAAGTGAAAAGCTGTGAATACCATCAAAACTGATAAAATAGCATTAGGCAGGAGAGGTGCTGGGTGCTGAGCTACTGTGTACTCGAATGTTAATGTCCCCCAGGATCTTTACAGCAAATGCTCATGTATCCAAAATGATGTGGTAGAAATCTTTCCTCTCAAATTTTCCATGATCGGCAAATAAAGTTGTCTACACCTGGGCTGGGCAGAAGAGAGGAAGGAGGAGCCAAGGTTCAGGGGCTTTGGGGGCTCAGAGAGAGACCAGAAGGAAGAGGGAGGATGGAGGAAGAAAGTACAGAGGTCACCATGGGTTAGCGTGAATTAAAAGCGTGTGGCAGAGAGCAGCTTGCTCTGAGGAGTGGCACGATGCAGTGAGGTTTGGGAGTAGACAGGCAGCTTACAGGGTTAATATCCGCCCAGCCCCAGTGCAGTGAGGTTTATTAAAAATTAACAGGTTTCTGTGTCTTTATTTGTAAAATAGCAGGCTAAGGAATAACTGCCACCTTAATATGAATCAATATTAAAAATTAAAAATATTACAACAGAGAGGTTTCCAGAAAACCTTGGCCACTGATCTGTGAAAGTGCTTATTTCATTGAAAATGTCTTTGTTTATAATTTTCTATCACAGACAGCACAATTAATGGCTTAAAACAGAAAGAGGGAAATGCAATGAAAATTCTGGAATTTTGGTTTCTTTAAAAAACAGAAATAAAGCTGGGTGAGGTGGCACATACCTGTAATCCCAGCACTCTGGGAGGCAGAGGCAGGTGAATTGCCATGAGTTTGAGACCAGCCTGGTCTACAAATCAAGTCTAGGACAGCCAAGGCTACACAGAGAAACCATGTCTTGAAAACAAAACAAATAAAATAAAATAACAGCAGCAACAGGCTGGAGAGATGGCTCAGAGGTTAAGAGCACTGGCTGCTCTTCCAGAGGTCCTGAGTTCAATTCCCAGCACCCATATGGTGGCTCACAACCGTCTATAATGAAATCTGTTGCTCTCTTCTGGTGTGCAGGTGTATATGCAGATAGAGCACTGTATACATAATAAATAAATACATCTTTAAAAAAATAACAACAAAAACTAAACAAAAACCCAACCTGAGATGGCCTGAAATGCTTTGGGACATTGTTTCTCACGTTCCCAGTGCAATGGCTCCTGGGTAGGGATAGGACTCCTGCTTTCCACTCAGTCTGGGAGACCGATCAGCCAGGGAGCCTCATCTTTAATCAGGACTGGGCAGCAGCTTTGGCTCTGTGCATTCAAGGGAGTCCTCCAAGAGACTCAAGTCGTGACCCGGTCTTCCCAGTCAGGAAGTAAAATGGGATGAAGACAGGGAAGACAGGGATTCATTGCTGGGCTGAGTGGACTGGGAGGCGGAGCAGCTCTCCCTAGTTTCTCGTGGGTACAGCCTCTGTCCTGCTCCTCACTGTTCAGTGAAGAGCAAAATCTAAACACAGGCTCATGTCCACACCTGGGTGAGAGCCATGCTTTCTGCCTGAAATGCTCTAACCATGAATACTGCCAAGTGTCAAAGGACACCATTGAGTCAGAAATCAACACCCCTGGCCAACACGCAGTGCAAAGACAAACTTCAAAGGGCAGGAAGAGGCAAGGGAAGGCCAGGAGCGGAGAAGGCGCTGACACACTGCAGCAGGTGAACTGCGGCAGACTCCGGCTCGGAGGCGCCCAGAGCCCTTTACTCGAGTGTCCGACATCAGAAGATAGAGAGCAGAGATTTTGAAAATCTCTCCCAGATAACTCAGGTGACATGGAAACCTGAGCTCACAGGGCAACTGTCTTGAACTTCGCTATCTGCTTCCTGTATCCTGTCTGTCTCTGGGACATGTTTGAAGCCACATTGGCATAGGAATTTACACCTTAAAACATGCAATGGCAAAGCAGGCATGGTGGCACAGGCCTTCAATCTCAGTACTGGGAAGACAGAGACAGATGGATCCCTGAGTTCAAGGCCAGCCTGCTCTATAGAGCAAATACCAGGACAGCCAAGACTACACAGAGAAACCCTGTCTCAAAAACCAAAAACAAACAAAAAACAAAACCCCGAAACAAAAACAAAAACAACAAAAATCATGCAATAGCTACACATGAAAGAATCAAGACAAATGCTAGACATTCAATCGCGAAACCAGGAAAAGAACAATCAAATCAACTCAAGAAAAGGAGCGAAGATGAGGTGGTAACTGACACCTAGGCCCCTAGGAACTAATCCAGTGGCTTCCAACAGCCACTTTAGAAGCTTCTGGAAAGAAAAAGAAAACACACATACACTTCTGCTACGGCGAGGAACTGAGGAAGGAATGGGAAGCAGCATTTGAAGGAATAATGGTTGGAGTTTTTGCTTTTTCATGTGTGTGCATGTTATTTGTGTGTGGGAATGCAGGCCTGTGTGTACCTGTGAACCCTGAGGCCCAAGGCTGATGTCGGGCATGAAGCGTTCTCTATCGTTCTTGCACCTTATTCTTTGAAGCAGCACCTGCTGGTCAAACCCAGAGGTCACTGACAGGGCCAACCTCTGGCCGGTTTGTTCTGGGAATCTCGGTCTCTGGCTACCTCATCCTGGGATTTGGGTACTCAAATTCCAGTCCTTGTGTTTATTCACCAATGTTTAACCACAGAGCCACCTTCCCAGTCCCTTTGGCTAAGTTTTCTAGAGTATATATCACATGGACTTTTTTTGTTTTTGTTTTTTTGTTTTTTTGTTTTTTTGTTTTCCAAGGCAGATTTTCTCTGTATAGCCTTGGCTATTCTGGATTCCCTCTGTAGACCAGGCTGGTCTCAAACTCATAGAGACCCACCTGCCTCCCTGAGTGCTGGGATTACAGGCATGTGCCACCTTGCCTCACTCTCACATGAACTTTTAGTCAGGACAGACCACACTGAGCCCCAGCTGGACACAGCATACAATGGGGAGACAACAGGTCACAAGTGGCCGGACATACAACAGACCCTTCACCAATGAGCCAAGACCAGACTGCTAGCTGACTGTTTGCGAGATCACACATTTGTGATTCCAGCGTATGGGAGGCTGAGGCAGACGGGGTTTGAGTTGAGGCCAGCCTGGGCTACACAGCGAGACCCTGTGTGGAGAACAAGCATGGAGAGGCATAGCTCCAGCTCTGGCAAAATTCTAGACTGGGTTAGACCAGGCTCCTGTCAGGCATGTGGGCACCCCAGGAAGGCTCTCTGGGGACGAAGCAGAATGTCAGGTTCCCTCCAGAGGAGGCGGCTGCCTTTTGGGAGTCTGAGGAGGTCCAGTGTGGAGGCTGCTGCCAGGGCCCAGGAAGATGGCAGGGCAGCAGGGCCCCGGTTCATGAGGTGAAATTTTGCGCTCAAGAGATTTCTTCCCAATTAGTGTGTTTCTGCAGCAGGATTTGGATGCACCCATCACTGTCGTTACTTAGTGTATCCGCCTGACAATTGTGCACACACACGCTTGAGAGCGAAACCACAGCTGTAACCACAGGGAAAAACCAACTGTGGTCCCCAGTTACCTTCTCTTTTAGTTTTTGACTGTGGCTGGTCTTGAACTCACAATCTTCCTGCCTGGGCCTCCTGAGTGCTGGGATCACAGGCAGCTATCCCTGCCTCCAGCATGGTAGGTTTTCCCCAAACCTTTCAGAGATGGATCAAATTTTCACCAGCAGGGCAGGGGATGCAGCTCAGTGGAAGAGCGCTGGCCTGCAATGCCCAGGCCCTGGTGTGATACCTAGTATATAAATCAGAAGTATAATAATACAGTTAAGCATAAGCAGGGGAACCCTATGACAGTGAGAGCTATGTGAGGTAGAACAATGAGGCGCTTCACTCATCCTGATCTTAATGGATCTCTACGTTTGGTGGGCCTGTGGTCAAAGGGGATTCTAATCCTCTGTGCAGGTCTCTTTTGGCACTTCCCAGCTCATGAGGAGTGCGGAGAGGCGTGTGGAGACAGGCGCTAGGCTGCTGGCAGATGAGAAGGAAGCCAGACCCACTAACAGGCCACCGGAAGAAGGAAGAAGTCAGTGATGCCCTTGTTGCGTCTCTTCTAGGAAGCAGCTTGCTAATGACTCACAATGCACGGCCCGTCGGGAGGAAAAGCAGGCTGTGCACACCGTGTGCCGGAGCCTATGTCCCAGGGCTCCGGGTGAGGGTGTGAGTGTAGGTGAACAGTGTGGCGGGGCCAGAAAGAGTGAGTGTCCGCATAGCTGGAAGGCAGAGGTGCTGGCATCGCCATCAGAATGTGGATCAGCTCCAAAACTGGATACCTCATTTTTGTTTTCTCGTCATTTGCCTTGTGTTATTTAGTTATTTGTTTTATACATGTGACTGGTTTGCCTGAGTGTTTGCACAGACACGCCTCCTGCCTGGGAAGGTTAGAAGGTGTTGGATCTCCTAGAACTAGATTTCAGAACTGTTGTCAGAGGCTCAACTAAACCCGATTCTCTGCCAGAGCAACAAGCGCTCTTAAACACTGAGCCGTTGCTCCAACCCCTTGATCTAGTTTTTTATGAAAGGGTCTCACTCTGTAGCACAGGCTGGTTTTGAACTCACAATGTTCCTGCACTAGTCTTCCTTGTGCTGGATTAAAGCATTAGGTACCAGGTCTAGGAATAACCTTAATTGGTACAGAGCTTGCCTAGCAAGTATGAAGCCCTGGGGTAGGTGCTCAGCACCACAGAACACCGTCCAGGGAGGTGGAGACCGGAGGATCAACTCATTCTTGACCAGGCAGGGAGTTCTTCTGAGGCTAGCCTGAGCTATCTGAGACCCTGCCTAAAAATTAAAAACAAAGGGCCAGAGAGATGGCTCAGCAGTTAAGAGCACTGGCTGCTCTTCCAGAGGACCCGGGTTCAATTCCCAGCACCCACATGGCAGCTCCCAACGCTGTCTGTCGCTCCAGTTTCAGAGGATCTGACACCATTACACAAACATGCATGTAGGCAAATCACCAATGCACTCACAAATAATCAAATCTTTAAGAAAGCAACAATAAACAAACAACAAAACAAAAAAGTTAGGTGTTGAAAAACGGCAAGAACTGATGTTGACCTCTGATTTGGGGAGAGGCAGCATTAGGCAGAGGGAAAGTACAGGAGAGAAAGAGGTGGCCAAAGTGGACCTGTGTTCAGCCCGCCTGCAGGGGCTTGGTCCATCTGTGGGCCCATCTCCCCTCCTCCGTATCCCCAGGGCTGCTCTCCATGGCCGGTCCTGGACCCCACACAGGCTCTGCGCTGCCAGTCCTCACCACCAAGCCACCTCCCCAGCCTTGTTTGTTTTCAAGAGAGGGTCTTACAGCACAGCCCTGGCTGGCCTGGAACTTGTGGTCCTTCTGCCTTAGCCTCTTGAGTGCTGGGATTACAGGTAGGAGCCACTACACTCACCTGTCCTGCATTATAAAAAAAAAAAAAAAATGCCTGGGTCCCAAGTCTCACTTGCTTCTGGTGGGAAGTCAATCGAGCATCAGCAAACAGCAGCACTCTCTGCGGACCCCTATGGGGCTGGCCTGGGACTGCCTTGCTGCTGGCCTCGCAGGACCTCAGCTGCTCCACGGCTGTTTCTTCCAGATGTGGCCAGAAGAGTGGGTCAAGGGACACCCAGTGCTGAGATGACGCCCTGCTCTGTGCCTAAGGCGTCTGGCTGGCTCCATTCCACCACCAGTGGCCTCCCTGGGAAGCCAGCCTACAGCCCTCTTTCTGGCCCCAGGCTTTTGGCCTCCTGTGACAGAACCATGGCACCACCTTCCCCCCTGCTGGCATGAGCCCAGAGGTGGCCTGGCCCACCATCCTGTTCCCAGGTCCTTACCTTTAGGGTGGCCCAGCTCAGCTCGGAGTCTATTCCCCATTTCTAGGAGCTGCTCCCTCTCCAGGTGGAGGCTGAGGATCTTCCTAGCTGCGTCCTTTAGTTTCCTTTGCAGATGCGGCACAGACAGGGTCTGCAGAGGCTGTGCCCCTTCCAGGGGGAAACTAGGGGACTCTGTCTGGTCCTCCATGCCCACAGGTCTCCAGTCAGCCAAACCCTGTACACACAACCCAACCAGGAGACGGCCCTGTCAGACAGTCCCGAAAGCCTGCGGGAAGATGAGGAGGGCCGGGAGCTGGTGGATGACCCACTGCCCAGCCCACAGTGCTCGCCCACGTGGCTGGCAGGCTCACTGGTGATGCCCTTCCAAAAGAAAGAAGGCAGGGTGACCCTTCCCCACGCTTTGACCGGGAGTTGGGGGCAGTCCCCAGGCCCTGTTGAGTGGCCTCTCATGGGGGAGGGTTGCAGTTCTCTGGAGACCATAGCCCAGAGCACTCCTTTCCGGGGATGAGCTGCTGAGAGTCTAGGTGTTTTCAAGTGGAGATAATGAGAGCTTCCACCCAGCCAGCAGGGGCTCCCTGAGGGCCTTTGTGGGCCTACCCTGGAAGAGAGAAGGAAGGCCCCTGTGAGCCTCCAGCAGTACCCCAGACCTGGGGAGCCTGGGAAGTGTGAACACGGGCCCCTGTGGCCAAGCCACTTCTCACTGCTATGGGCTCCACTCTGCCCTGTGCTGACTGGACCCTCCCTCAGCCCTCCCTTGTTGCCCGAGGGCAGGCATGCCTTTCCTTCTCCAACCCTTTCACCTTCCTCTGGTCAACCCTTCTTCCGCCTGCCTGTTAAGAGTCCCTTTTCCATCCTGAGGCTCAGCTCTGGTCTCCTTTCCCTGAGAAAGCCTGCTGGGGAGGCAGAGTCAAGTAGACACAGACACGTACCCCTGAGAAGCACCATGTGCTCCTTGTTCAGCCTGGACTTGGGAGCCAACCCACACCTGCAGAAAACCAGGAGACCAGGTCTTGGCCTGGCCCACCTTCTCTTGACAGTTACAAGAAGCCATGACACCCAACACAAGCTGATGTGACCAGGAGACCTGGTCCTGGCCTGGCCCACCTGCTCTTGACGGTTACGAGAAGCCATGA